ATGTGAATATGACTGAAAAATTTCATTTTTTTTGAAAAGGTGGTGTCTGTTTACTTGTGACCATGCGGTGTATATCTAGTATGTATAGAAATGTTATATTCACAGATACTTAAATGGAAAAATAAAGAGGAATCACTTGTGAAATAATATGTATGTTTATTTAAAAATGCTAAAGAGGAATGTCAAAATATAAAATAAAAAGAGTGTGTCAAGGAAGTAACAATGCTTAGAGAAAGGCTTATTTGAATCTTACATTTTCACATGGCTTTTTGTTTTTAAATAAATACATATTCACAACTGAATGAGCTAAAACCCAAGTTATAAGAAACAAATTACTTATTATTTAGAATTAAACAGTTTTACGTAATTCCTTAATCATTTTCTTTCCCATTTAGCAAATTCAAGAAAAACAATGCTTTTTTTTTATGTATATAGAATCTTAATTTATCAAACAGTCTTTAAAACTTTTTAGGCTTCTTTTAGCAAAAATTATAGCATCTATAATTTACTGGTTATATTTTTAATGTTCTTGTGATGATCAACACTTGTATTTCCAATTAAAATAAATATGCTGTGCTACCAAAAACATGAAAATAAACTTGAACTTAATAAAAGTATCAGAAAATGGTATAGGGCCATAAACCTAAATAATATTTTATTGTAAGAAGTGGGCATAATATGAAAGATCTTGTTTTACATTAATTTTTAGTGTTATAGCTTTTACCTTTTTTATGAAATTTCTAAATCAAAACCACAAATATAATTCTTTTAAAGAATGACTTAATTTGTTATTATAAGGACTTTAATCTGCAAACATCCTGTACTTTTTTGTTTTTTAAAATAATGATTCATTTTATATCCATAAATGCAGAATATTTTGAACTTGAGTTACTTTGCAACTGATGACATAAGTGTTTGTTAACTGAATATCACAAATTTACTTTTTTTATGGTACTAGTTGCTCAAACATCGCTGTATCGTAATAATGATACTTTACTTGATTTTTTGTTTTGATTATAATGCTTGAAAACCTGGTTTATTGTATAAATTAAATGGCACAAATTAGTAATAGAAAAAAATTAATAATAATTCCAGGGAATTCCTGTGCCAGGCATGGATGAAGGCTGAGAAGGCGACTAAAGCTCCCCATATTTTGTTGATGACTCGAAGATTCAATGATGTAAGATAGCATCTAACTTATACCTCTTTTGAAAAAGTTACGTGTAAGTTTGAACATTGGAACCAAACAATGCCATTTTTGTTTGTTACCAAAGTTTTCAGATTGGTTGATCTGCACAAATTGATACAATTATTTCATATTAGTGGAATATGGTTCAGTATAGGTGTGTATCATAAGTTTAAATTTCAAACATTTTATTCTCTGCATTATCTATAGTTTCCCATTAGTAGCTTGAACATGCTGATATATCTCAAAATGATAATTATTTATGTATCTGGTTTGTTGCTGAAAATATTAGTTATGATATTTCTGTTAATAAATGTTACAGAGGCTCTGTACAAATTAAAAGAGTGAATCAATGTTGTGTGTTTTCATTAATATAAGTTTATTTTTATGTTGATATAGGTTAGTCGACTAGTTGTTTCAGAAATCATGAGAACACCAGAAATGTCCAGAAGGGTAGCAGTTATTGACAAATGGGCAGCAGTTGCTGACATCTGCCGATGTTTACACAACTTTAATGGAGTCCTCCAAATTTGTGCTGCTTTCATGAACAGTTCAGTGTTTCGACTTAAGAAGACCTGGGAGAAAGTTTCAAAAACAGTAAGGCTTAAATCTAATAGCCTCTGTTTTTCTTAAACTAATTTTAATAAATTTTTTTTCAAATATTTTTTTAAAATCACTATGCCCATTGGCCATAATTAATACCTTGCAGCAAAAAATTCCTCATGGAAAAACAATCATCACAAATCATTCCTTTATACAATTCTAAGCTTAAATTGACTTCCTTATAAAAGTTGTTTGAAATGAAAAATAAAACATGGAAAATTAAACAAAAAGTATCAAATACAGCCACAGAGTATAAAAAAGATGAGAAATAGATTTACAACTCAGTTCTTGTTTGCTGATTTTTTTTCATATTTAAATTGTTAATCAAGTAGATCAATTTGAAATATCTAGGTATAAAACAGTTATAAGCTTGAAATGAAGAAAAGGGAGAAATATAAGATATATAAAGTCAAAAATACGGTTAATTTTATTATTTGAATTCTTTGGCAATATATGAATCATAGTTTGGAACAAATTTCCAGTTATGATGTCCTAAACAAATACATAGTTATTAATTTATTTCAAATATTGAAAGTTAACTGATGCTCATCTTTGACTAGTTGTGTTGTTTTTACTAAAATGCTTGTAATTTATTTCCACGTGGGATGGAATAAATAATAGTTTTGGTGAGATTTCCGATATCTGGCTCTTGATTTCTAATCAGATTAGATTTAGATATTTTCAGATAGAATGGTAAATGTCACCATTAATATTAAAAATATAGGATAGTAAATGTCACCATTAATATTAAAAATACACTGCTGGCATGAGCTATCAAATTTATTACTGTATAGTATTAAACTAGTTACTTTGTCATGGATTTTTGAAAATTTAATAAGAATGTATATGATAGTGAGCATCCATTGAAAGCTGAATAAAAATAATGTAGCACATGGGTTGTGTAAGACAGAGCTTTAGAATCCTGATTCTCCATTGAGGGAGTTGTTTGGTTGTGCTTGCCATTCCTGTCACTGCCACTACTGTGATCACCTGTGGCATATAATGGGCAACACAATGGGTGGATGTGATGTTTATTTTCACTGCATCACTATCTGTATTATAACTCCTTTGACTACCAGGGCTCCCACTCTTTAATACCAAAGAAGATCCTAAGTTCACAAGCTAGTAAAAAAGAACCAACATCCTCAATAATGCAATATCTAATATGTGTGACACAGATGTAAGTAACATCATGCTTGCATAATATTTTGAGATAGTCTGTTGATGGAAATGCTGTCTGATTATCCAATTCAAACATTGTCATCATGCCAAGTTGCTAGTGCATAACATAAAAATCTGAAACGTACGTCATTCTCTCACATTAAAAACATCAATAACAACAGGGGCACATGATCAGAACTTCTGCAACAAATGGCAACAGATCTTTGAAAACACCTCCTTAGAATTCGTGAATATCACTAAAACCTTCTGTTGATATTCTAGATAAAGAAATTTCCCACTATTATCACCTGTACAATCCTTCGCTGGAAGAACGAGAAGAATTACAAAAATCTACAAAGAGAACTGATACATTTCTTCTTAAAAAGAATAACAAAAATCAGCTTCCTACCAATAATATCAATTCAAAAAGCACTTCTAACAACACTATTTCGAACTCTCTTCTTTGTCATAAAGAAACTACCATAACATTAAGCAGTCTACCAGAAACTATCCCTTCATCTCAAAATAAACAGCCTAAAAAAACGTTTAAAAAACTATCCTCTAATATGCATGAGTCTTCTCAAACAAACAAATCTGTTGAAAATAACAGTGACCTCATAAAATGGACAGATAATGATGAACAATTCCAACATATCTCTAATATTGTTAATCTTTCAGACATAACTTTCTCTGAAGCAGAACTCAGTCTCCTTAGTAAAGGTCTTAACTTCTGCCCAAATAACAGTTATGTTAATGAGCCCGAACTTCTTTCTGACCTTTATGAATTCTCTAGAAAACTAAGACTTTTCAAATTTTTTCACAACAAACCCCACCCTACTGAAAATCAACATACACCAAACCTTAAAGAAAAGTCTTTATGGATAACTCCACCAAACAGAGAACCACGTTTAAAGAGTTATATTAAAGCAGTAGAAAATGACATAATACAGACCTTAAAATCTTCCAAGCAATGTTCTAATAATATTATTCAAAATAAAAGAAGTGCTTTAAACAATCTTAAATCGAACAACAATATCATAATCAAGCCAGCAGACAAGGGTGGAGCTATTGTTATTCTTAACAAAGATGACTATATCACGGAAGGTAACCGGCAACTAGACGACTGAAAAAACTCTCACACGATCCTACAACTCAGTTTATTAAGACCATAACTGATAAGCTTAAAGAACTCCTCCAAAACAATAAAATTAACAGAGACCTTTCAGTATTTGATACCCACACAAGCTTTTCTTGGTAGATTTTATCTCTTACCCAAAATACATAAACCGAACAATCCTGGCCGACCCATAATTTCTAATATAAACATGGCTACTGAAAAGCTGTCTGCTTTTGTTGACCAACACATAAAATGTATTCCCTGTACCCTCCCTTCTAACATAAAGGATACTACTCACTTTCATAATATCATAGAAGATATTAATACTAACCGACAGTTACCACCCATTAGTCTTTGCACGATGGATGTTTCTTCCCTTTACACCAGTATTCCACATGATGAAGGACTACAAACACTGAAGTCCACAATAAACCTTTCTAACCAATCAGAATCTCAAACAATAATTGATCTTGCCAGCCAGGTTGTAACTCTGAACACCTTCGAATTCAGTAACGAGCATTACATTCAGGTTAAATGTACTGCAATGAGTACCAAAATGGCTCTCACTTATGCCAACATTTTTATGGCTCATAGTGAAAACCAGCTTTTGCAACTAAGCCCTGTAAAACCTCATACATGGAAACATTACATAGACGACATATTTTGCATTTGGACAGCCGGTCTTAAATCACTTAAAGAATTTACCTCACATGCAAACTCTTTTCACAAAACAATCAAGTTTATCTGTGATTACTTGCCTACCTACTAAGTTAAGTTTCTTGATGTCACTGTTTTTCTAAAAAATGGAATTTTACACACTGACTTGTACAAAAAACCTACAGATAGACAACAATACCTTCACTATAAAAACTGTCACCCCTCTCACACTAAATGAAACATTACCTGCAGTCAAGCCCTTAGAATAAAGAAAATATGTTCAGATGAAACAGACTACAGAAAACACATCAAGGATCTAAAACAAGACATGTTACAAAGAGGATATAAAGATATCAGAAATGACATACAAATTGAAAGGGCTAACAGCACTCAGTGGAAAAACATCCTAAATCAGAGCAATACAAAACTTCCAAATATAATTCCAGAAATGTTTCACATTCTGAAAAACATTTTCATCGCCTACGATCAACGATCATCTTAAAAAGCAGAACTCTAAAAAATATCCTTGTTCACACTAAAGTGCATTACATCCCACCCAAAAATTTCTGTCGTCCATGTAATAAATCCCATTGTCAAACCTGCAAGTTCATAAAAACCACTGACTCATTTTCTAACAAGCACAATTAAGGAAACTTTAAAATATTCAAAGAAATCACTTGTGAAACAAAAAGACCATTTACCTTATACGCTGTAAAAAATACAATTACCAATACGTAGGACATACATAAACAACTCTTAGAATGTTTCAACAACCATAAATCTTCTATTAACACTGAAAAAGATCTCCCTGTTGCTCAACATATTTAACCAACCCGGTCATTTCATTAATAATGTTACTCTCATTGGCATTGAAACAGGATTCAAAACTAAAACAAACAGAGAACTAAAAGAAGTTTATTGGATTGCTAATCTAAACACTGTTCAACCTTTCGGAATTAATCTAGAACCTGGAATCAGTGACCTCTTTTCATTGGTTTCATCTCTGTCAGAAAAATAATTTTTATTCTTTGCTTATTTTTTCATGTAATGTGAATGCTGAATTTCCTAAAACTTACTATTTATTTAAGATAATTTTTATAAATTGATTAGCATCTATTTTCAATCAGTCTCCAGGTGTCACCTTTATTTTACTTAAACACTTAATTATAGTTTTAAATATACACATATTTAATCATTTCTAAAGTAAAATATCCCTTACACTTTTGCCATTGGCTACATTGTATCAGAAATAAGACATTTAGAACAGTACATAGAGAAATAGACTAAACATTTCATGGAAAACTGGATGACCTTCATGACGTCACTAAACTTCTTTTATATATATATATATATATATATCACTCATTCAATTACACCACCATTCCCAGTTTGCCCCTGAAGCAGAAAGGTCCACCTCTTGAAAGTGCTCAGGTTATAGGGTTTTTATTCATTTACATCTGTAGTAATTAAGGTGACTTTCCAAAAAGCATTATTAACAATGAAGCCTGTATGAACCAATGATATGAGCTGAATTTGGTGACATCTAATTAACAATGTGTTTTTGAAAAAAATGTGTTTCTAATCTTTCAGACCAAACAAACTGTAGATAAACTACAAACACTGGTGTCTGCTGATGGGAGATTTAGAAACATGAGAGATGCACTTCACAGGTAAACGTTATTCTGTCATTTTTATTACACAGTTCATTTATCTTTAATGTATAGCTAAAGGGACAGATCTGTATCTGTGCTTAATCATCTCTGTTTATAGCTTCATGTACCAGCCAAATGCTGTATCTAATGCTTAAACATTTGTAAGACCAATAAATTTAAAAAAAGACACAAAAAGTAGAATTCTGGTTTTATTTTTCATTCAATTTATAAATGTACTAAAACTTATCTAGAAGTAGGACATTGATTATAACAATAATGTTTGGCTAGTAGTTACAACACCAGAGTTTATTACATTAGAAACACTTAAATGAACATGGTTTGTTGGCATAACCAAGTATTAATGTTGGTGACAACTGTGGCTGTTATTTTCATATTTGGCCCGGCATGGGCAGGTGGTCAAGGCTCTCGACTCACAATCTGCGGGTCACGGGTTCGAATCCCCATCCCACCAAACATGCTTGCCCTATCAGCTGTGAGGGCATTATAATGTGATGGTCAATCCCACTATTTGTTGGTAAAATAGCTGACTTCCCTCTAGTCTTACACTGCTGAATTAGGGACGGCTAGGGCAGATAGCTCTTGTGTAGCTTTGCATGAAATTCATAACAAACAATCTTCATATTACACTAAACATTTTTTTAATAATATTCCCCTTTTTAATACCATCTTCAGAATTTAGCAGTAGTGAGCTATAGATGATGCACATTTCTTAACATATTTGGATCCAGTTGCATCATTTCATGGTTTTATATAATAACAATTGTGAGTTTGAGCAAATTGATGTTACTATTATACTTCAAAAGATGAAAGTGCATTCTGATAGTGTTTTAGTAGCTTAAGTTTGTAAATTATCAATGACTTTCTTGATTTTGGGGCTGCCCCGAACACATCCAGTGTGCACTCTTTATTTGTTAAGCTGCTAACATAGTAAGGTAGATTTTAAAAAGTTCAATGTTGAATAAACGTTTATGAATAAAAAAAAAAAGGGAAACTGATGTTACAGATATATTTACTTCTTGATAGAACACTTGATTTGTAGGGTTTGGAGAATATGAAATCATTAACTTTAACAATTAATTTCTTTAATTATCTTTTAATTAAAGTAAATAAGCTGTTGTATGCAAATAGATGATATTTGATAATGTTTTGCAGGTGTGACCCTCCTTGTATCCCTTACTTAGGAATGTACCTGACAGATCTTTCCTTTATTGAAGAAGGAACCCCAAACTTCACTGATGATGGCTTGCTAAACTTTTCCAAGATGAGGATGGTAATTTTTGAAAATTTCTGTTTTTAAAGATGCTAATTTTCAGGTTAATTCTTTCTGTACTGGTGGTGTGTCATTGATAACCCATGACATTTCCTTTTCACAATGTAGTTACTTAACAGAATTGTATGAATCTTATTAGAAACTTACCAAATAGTATGTAAATGCAGACTGAAGAATTTCTTATAATTTGATTTACTTTTTTTCTCTCATTCATTTTGTAAACTATCAAATTTCCAAAATTTTGTTGTGAGAAACTGTTTTGAAAGACCATTAAAAATACTTCCTTTTGTCATAGAATTTCAGTTTATTTTTGACCAGAGAGTTCTGTTTTTGGTTTCAAGTTGATTGATGTTCATTAAAATATTTATTTTAATATTTGTTTTGTCAATTGAGTATTCACCACTTCAAGCTATAAAAATCCCCCACCAGTGGCACAGCGGTATGTCTGCAGACTTACGACGTTAGAATCCGGGTTTCGATACCCGTGGTGGGCAGAGCACAGATAGCCCTTGTGTAGCTTTGTGCATAATTAAAAACAAACAATCAAGCTATAAATCATAAAAAAATCATGGCAAAAACTGACAAAGATTTATCAGTGATCTATTTTCAAAGTTTTTATTCATTAGTGATTGTTCAGACCACACGCTGTGACATCATAAAAAGAGTGAAAATGAAGAAATGTAATAATAACACCTCAAACTGAGAAGGAAAGTTACTAGAGAAACAAGACATGGCTAACTGTATTTTCAAGAGATGATTGTTTCTTAGCAAATATAAACCTACTATGCTTTGGGATGGGCAAAATAATTTAAAAAAAAAACCAGTAAATGGGTTGTTTACAGGTAGGACTTCTCAGAGCTGAGCAGAAATTTACTTTTAAACATGTTTGCATTTTTGGGGCAAAGTACATAAAATAAATGTTACAAAACGACAAAATATCAGTTATAAAATATTTTTGAGTTAATTTGTTGAAATGGAGTTAGAAAAGTAACAAACACCTTCAAACCCATTGTCTGGTTTGTCTAATTTATTGTTGTGGTCTTTGCACTAAATTGTTCATTGTGTTGCATTAAAATGTTCATAATTCATATCATTTAAAGCTTTCTTTGCCATTTGATAAAATCATACCACTGACATTGAGCATAAAGATTTTAGTGCATGAATAAAAATAACCTATCAGCATATTTAACCTTCTAAGTCTGCTTCAAGTTTTTTGAAATATCTGTTTTGTTTTGAAACTCAGTTATCATTAGACCAGGTTTTCACTAATAAAAATATAATAAGCTTATTATCCAAAACATAAAATGGAGAAGCAGTAGCTGTAAATTTTCAAGCTTCTATAGTTAGAAGTAAGGAATGATTTTATTTATTGAGGATTTTTTTCTCATGATATAGTGGACAAAACAGTTGGTAAGTTATGAAACATTTGAGTAAGGAATACATTTCTTTACACCGAACGTAATTATTCATAACTATAAGTTGTTAATTTATTATGGAGGAATGCTTGTAATTATGGTACCAGAGAAAGGTTAACAGCATATGCCTATACAAGCTACAAACATGTAAAAAAATATCAAAATTTACATCACATGTAGTGTTTTACTTGCTCTTATGACATTCGAAAACATTGCTTAATTTTGTTAGTAATTATTGTTCATTAATTAGTATGTGAATAACATTTCTTAACTAAAATATAAAATTTTATAAGTGATCCATATTTTCATTCCATTCTTCTAGGTTGCACACGTCATCCGAGAGATTAGACACTTCCAGCAGACTCCTTACAAAATTGAAATGAATCCAAAGGTAAATATGTTGGATTCATATTGATCACGGTTTTCCTTGGTACCATATCAATAGTTTTTAAAAACTTGACAGTTTTATTTATTTTTTCTGTCCATAAACACGTATATAATGACACTGTGTATATAATGATAAATTCAGCCTTCAAATATATTTATTCTTTAGCTTCACAGAATTTTTGCATTGTTTTACGGGAAACAAATCTTGTTTTTTATTTGCATCCAGTTCATTGATTATGCTTCTTCTTAAAACATCGTGTACTGTTCTAAGTTCCTGCAAAAGCTAATTGTTCAGGGTGAAATAAGATTTGTAGAAAATAATGAAAAATTTATACTACTGCATTTGACTTATTCTGTATGAAAGACTGTATGACATGCTGTTGATTAGCTGCCTGTAAAATAATACTGCCCTGCTAAATAAGAGGTATTTAGAGAAGATGGCACCAAAACCCTAGTGTTAATCGATTGGAAAATTTGTGGCACCAGTGGGAAATAACTACTACATTAGAAAAGCAAACATCGACAGATTGTAAAGATAAAATGAAAAGAAATACTATTTTATGTTCTTAAGTAAACTGTTAACACTTATTCCTGATTTATATATTTACTTTTGAATACAAATATAAAATGAAACCTAAACACAACTTTGATTTTTCATTCTTTCATGAAAACTTAATTTTTTAATACCCTTAACTCAGACTTTTGATTGTTATGTGTACAGACACGCCCACACAAATAAGTCCTTTTTTAAGCAGAAATGGAACTTTAAATTGATAGAAAATAAATAAAAACTGGGTAAATACATACATCTTAATAATCAGTATCATTACATAAATTAGTACTGTGTTGTGAAATTTTAGGTAGATTAGAATTATTGTTGGTTAATTCTGCTGTGTATATTGTTTACCAGAAGATTAACTTAAAAATTGCTTTAACACTTCCATGTTGATTTAGTTATGTCTGATAACAAGAAATCAAATTTAAACTGTTTTTGTAGTTAACTAACAACCAATTCCCCAAGGTATAAATAAGGCTGCATTAGGGAAAACTAAATAATTTAGCTAATAGTAAGAAGACTTAGAAAGATTTTAGTTTATATTATTTTAATGTGGAAGATTATTGGCCCATATTGTCCCATGTACATTGTTGATAGAATAACACAAGCAATCCCAGACAGAACAAAAGATATATGTAGCACTGCCATACTTCATGTATGTAATGTAAAGGGAATTTGTATTGAACTTGTATGAATATATGATTCTTGTATTTTGTTTATATAAACAGTATATTTCATTTCTAAGAAAAATATTGACACCTTTATGTATGATATAAGATTCTTCTGTGAAAACATATTAACGATCACGCAACTTGTACTGAAAGTATATGATACATATATCTTTCATACTTCTGTGAACTTTATATGGAAAATATATCACACTTACCTCTCAACTATGTGTTCAATATATGAGTTGTAACTCATAAAAACTAAAAATATAATTAGAGGATGCTTTATCACTGACCCATAAACTTTACTAAAACCAAATTCAGGTTGGCGAATATGAGAGCACTTATGTAAAATGTAATTTAAAATACAAAAGATCATATAAATTTAAATACTCTTTATTTTCACCAGTAACACTGTAAAGTAACATTTTCAGAATTGAGGAAACAAACCCAATTGTATGTTTCACAAATATACCATTTATTATGACCATGGTTTTGCCAGCAAAAGCATCATCATTCTTTAGCCGTGCACCCATTGACATTAAAGAAGAAAAGTGTTAGGCATGATTTTTGCATTGTTCTGCCATTCATCAATCTGAAAATATAATCATTTTTTTACACACATTTTTTATATTTAAAAAAATGCATGCCTGTAGGCTTAAGTTTTCACTGTAATTTTTTTATCTTATAATGATGCAGAGGTTGTGCCTAACATTCAACAGAACTTACTACATGAAATTTCAACTATCTAAGCATCATGCACAGGCTATCCAGACTTTGGTGATTTTTTTTACATTTCTATCTCCATCCTACAATATATATTTTCTCATTTTAATTCTCATCATCAAAATTACCCAGAACAAAATCTCTTATTCAAATACTTTCTATGTTGATTATAAGTATAGCCCCAAGATGTATTTTATACATAGAAGTTTGAAGTCATTCTGTAACTGGTGAAAGTAAACAGACTGTATTTAGTTTTTATTAATCAATATGAGACAAATATCTTAATTATCCTTATATTGTAAATTCATACATGTATTGACTCGTGTGTGTTTGTGTTTTATATGAAATATATGTTTGCTTCCTATGGGATGGAGTTTTTTTTACAGATAAATGAATAACCCTCTATTGTGGGCATTGTTAGAAACTCAGAGAAAAATGTCACTTAGATTGGGAACTGTTGCTTTAGAGATGAGTGTATTTGTCACGTGATTTAGTTAATAACATCATAAATCTATACAGACTTCAGAAGTTAATGTTCGGTTTGGTTATAGCATGCATCTCCTCTGTGATCAAGTAGAAATGTATTGCAATATACAATTAGAATTTAACAAAAACAAAACTTGTAAAACAAGAAGTTCAAGTTTGACTTGAAGAGTTGTATCACTTACTATGAGCTTCTCCTCTTGTCACATGTGTACAAAACATGATCAAATGAATCATACAATAATAAGTAACTTAGATATTCTAAATTTGTGAAATAGTTGCTCCTTAAAAAGCCAAAGTAAAGTAGAAACTTTTGTTTCAAAAGCTAAAAATATTTTTTATTTTTATTTTGCTTTCTGTATCTTAGATCATGCTGTTAGGAATACATTATAAAATGCTCAAACTAACCAAACTATATTGTGTAAACTTCTGAAACCTCTATTTTCTAGGTGACCAACTACTTTTTAGACCCAAACCACTTAATGAATGATGAAGAGCTGTATCAGATTTCACTATGCTTAGAGCCTCGTTTATCTCGGTTGTGTACTAAAATTACACCACTTCCAGCATCTTTTGGACTTTCCGGAAGTCATGGGACCTGAAAAAGATGTATAGTAGTATTAACTTTAAACATTATTTTATGAGTTGTTTTTTCGTGGCCAACCTCATTCCAGTTTAGTATTGATATTTTATTTTTTGTTGTTATAGTTCACTGTTAGTATAGAAAATGATGTTATACACGCTGTTTTATTTTGTATAAGAGGCCTTCAGTGCCAGTTTATACTCAGTATAATAGGTTTTTAGTCTAAGTTGTATCTGGATGATACTTTCTTGTCACTCCAGCCTTTCATGCCATTTTAGTTTCCTACACCTCTTTCCAAACCATTTGTAGAAGGAAAAATTATAAATGTTCAGTAATTAAATACTCAGTGTTCCAATTCACTCTGTGTGCCAAATTTGGCTTTATATAAATGAATAAATAAATATATATATAAATACACACACATATACACACACACACACACACACACACACACACACACATATGTATACATACAAACATATATGTATATATGTTGAATGTTTTATGAGCCCATTCTTTTTCTGTGTTATACCAACTGAAGTGAGTTACTGTATGGAAGACCTTGCAAAAGTTACTTATAAGTACTTATCATCCAGAACTTTTTTTGAAACTCAGGAAGATTGTTTCTTGTCTTCAAGATCTTTTGTTTTAGAGCAACTTAATGTGAAATTAACAAATATTCTGTGTAAATGGACAAAGAAATAGTGATTACTTTCTTGTAATATTTTTAACACCATTAAGAACCATTTCAACTTATTATTTGCTGATAAGCTTACATGTGGGGATAAAGAAACGGAAATCACATAGACACTTTTTTTTAACGTGTAACAATGTTAAGATTTGGTAGCTTATTATATATTGAAATATATTATTGTTATCATTTGTAGTCCATGGATTTCAAAAGTGAATGAACATGTAAAATACTACCCAATTCTTTTTTTTTTCTTCATTGAAGTTGCTGTTTACCATTTATGCACATTTTTCAATCAATTGCACTATAAAAATATGTGTATTACATGTGCTTATTGGAAAAGAAATACATATCATTCTAATGCACACTTTTTGTTGTTGTTGTTTCTAGCAGTATATATTACAAGGGGTAATTTTTACATAAATTACAGCTAAGAATATCTTTCACAAAAATAATGTATTAATCTATTGATGAATTGCATACTTACCTTAATGCTTATATCGGGAAAGTGGTTTTGGATGATCAGTATTTGTAGTGTAGTTTAAGATTCTCTTGCATACCTGTACTTCAGCATATACTTAAAAGTTTTTAGTTTATTCTTAAGAACTGCTAGATTTTGTACAGGATAATTAAGACCAATATATCAAGGAAGCAGCCTTGCTCAAAATAGACATTATGTCTGTTACTGTATGGCTTGTCTCTAAAGATTTTTATCAATTTGTAAGTAAACTTTAACCCAGCTTATAGTTATTGCCATTATAGAATAACATTTTGTATCACTATTTCATGAGAGTTGTTTATAGTTAACTGTGAATGACTATGTTTATGTGGTGTTCTCAGAATAATAATGTGTAGTTGAATAAGAAGATAATAGAAGTCGACAAGGTAAAAGATTTACCCCAATAGGAACTGAAAGGTTTGTACAATAAAGATATAACAGGTAGCTTGCTTGTTGTTTGGGGAAATTTATAGTAAGAAGCTTTTAATTTTATTTTTCTGCTACTACGTGATTTTGACATGTCTCTTTAAATTAATAAGTGAGACTAAATGTGTGTACTATTCATATAAAATTTAATTCAGACATAATATCTAACAGATAGTTTCAAAGTGAGGACAGTTGTGAGCTACAGCTTATTAATCGGGTATTAATTGTGTGTTGTCAAATGAATGTACTCACTTGATACACCATAAGACAGTTGGGTCTTATTGATAAGTTAGTTGTACTATAAAAATACTATTTTTTAGGGTGTATAGATTTCGGGAGGATTGCACAATATAGTGAAGCTGTAGCTATCGCAGTTGTAACATATCCTGATTTTGTTTTGGTTCATAATTCTGTTGATTAGGATACATATGTAGTTTTATGGAGTGTGTGCCTTCCAAGCATCCTGCACAATTTATTTCATCCCATTATTGTTCATATGTTTATTTGAGACCATACGATAATTTATTTAAAGAGTTTAATTATGTATGTATTTGTTTTTATTGCAATAGTACATTTTTTTATTATTTAAATGAAGAGCACCACATTATTACTAAAGAGAAGAATGGACATCCACATTGTATACTGCTTACAATTTAATTTTTTATGTCAAAAACAGCACATCTAAACTTCTATATTTAGTAATTTTGCGAATAGTGTAAACGACCTAAAGTAACATGCTCTGAAACAACTGGAAACTACAATCAATGTAACGAACAAAGAAAAAAAAACATTTGTTCAAGCCAATGGATGATTTGTTGCTTCGTTTCTGGGTTTAAATTGTCTGAGCTGCAAGAGTTGTCACCTATTTGCATGTTTTGAATATGCTATAAAGTGCCTGTTAGTTACTGGCTACATTCGTCATATTTACTTTTGGACAACCATTTCAAAAAATACCCAGAAAAAACTAACAAGATGGTTTCCAATGACAATTTTTCTCACTTTAAAGAAAGTATTGTTTGTGCAATAATATCAACGTATATCGTACAGACCCATTTGACAAACACATTTTAACTGCCTTGTTACTACTGCGAATGTTAGTGAATCCACACAAATCTCATTAAACCTAACATACCAAAACTCAAACTATAAAATAACATCAGTTCACTTTGCAGTTTAAGCTAATAAAAACTAGGTGTTGCATAGTTAAAATCTGTTTGTATATTTAATCCTGGTATCTGTGCAGAAGATTGAATTAAGACAAATTTGGAACCATAATGATACTTGCAACAATAGATATTACAAACCAAATATCTCGTTTAGGGTTAATTGTAACTTTGTCACAAAGTTTAGGCATGAATTCTTTTTAAATGCTACTGTAACATCTGATAGAAGTATGATCTTAATCGAAGTTTTATTTTAATTAATGCAACGTTTATTTATTGTTCACTATTGCTTACCATTTGACATAAAGAGAAATGGTGGTATTATGTGTATATTCATGGTTATTATCTATATAGCAGTCTAGGAAACACCTGCTGGTATATATATATATATATTTTTTTTTTTATAAGTCTTTTACTAAGCAGGTTAATACGTGTATGTGTGTGTGTGACTAGGATGACGGTTTCATATAGGGGAGAATAAATAATTTGTAATATCGACTTTATACCGAAATGGACAATCACGTGGTATGTGTGGTCATTAGGGCTGGTAGTACAATGTAATAACCGTTTTTTCAGAACAATAAAACATTTTGTACGTTATATTTAAATTCTATCTAAAGTTAACTTTTCAAAAGATTCTAGACTGTGTAACTTATGTTTTATTTTAAAGGTCTCGAAAGATCAAAATCATATCAATTAAATCGGGTTTGGATTAATGATATCAAGTTATAAGAAAGCTGATTGTTGTGACGTAATTGTCTACTGTATAGTATAATAATATAGTACTTGTCACTACGGTATTGTTGTTTCAGAGAAAAAATGAATGTGGTTGAACTTATAGCATGACATATAGTCAAAAATATTTTTTTCTCGTTTTCCTTTCCAATGTATTTCTCTGTAATTTTCGTCAAGTGTTGTGATATTTCAATTAAAGAGTTTGATCTATATTTTTATCTGTGATTCAGCTGCAGGTCCTTATCACGTTCATATAATAAAATTATTACATTTTGATGTGAAACTAGGGGACGTTTGACTGAGAAGTAAAGCCAGAGTGATCCAAAATTTAAAATATACAGTCTTTATAAGGTTTTGGAGTTCAGAATTTTATTTTTTCTTTGGATACATCGAAATATTGTTTTCTTGAGCTGTCGTATTTACAAGTTACATATAAAGCTGTTTAAATACTTGAAGATATTTTAAGACAAGTTTTTTTTTACACAAATATTATAGACAGATCTGATAGTTTATTTAACCAATGTAATAGTTGAATAGCGTTATACAACTATATTAAGAGACTGAGAAAAAAATACAAAAACCATTTTAACGTTCAATGTGAAATAAATATATATTGGATTACATTTGACCTACAATTTTTTTTCCAAAGCTTAAAATTGAAAGGCAAAATATATTTAAAATTTAACAACTAAACGTTTTTCTCAAATTAAAAAAAGTGAAATATCAGGAAGAAAACATACGGCAGTGTCTTATTTAGCTGGACGGGTTTTATTTCGATATATTTAAAATGGATAAGGATAAAACGTATAAAAGGAAGACTGTGGACAAGAAAAAACTGCTGTCCATGTTCTATAAGACAGTAAGGGACTAACCTGCTCGATAAGGTACGTAAAACAAAATGCTTTTCTTTAATAAATGTGGTTGATAAACATTTCATTCTTGTATCTATATTTCAACAGTTTTATGTTCAATAAAAAGGGTGGGTGGGTTTTGAAATGATGGAACGATAATCGATCATTTTTAATGATTACAACTGTGAATGATCCCAAATACCACGAATAATAGAATGGTAACCACTTTGTTGTGGTACGATATTCTGAAAAGACTATGGAAAGAAGAATTAAACCACTGTCCTTTTGTTCAATATGGTATGATCATGAAGAAGAGAATAATAATCACTCACTGTCTTTGTTTAGTACGACATTCTGTTTAGATTGGATGTAAAACAACCCAACAACAATGTCCTTTTTGTTCGGCAATATTGTAAGAACACGAATAACAAAATAATAACTATTGTTTTTGGACAACATGGTAAAAACACGAATAAGAGAATAATAACCAACATCTTTATTTTTTGACATTATGGTAAGACCATGAATATGAATAAAAGCACTGCCTTTTACGGTCAATAATATGGTAAGACCACGAATGAGAGAACAATAAACATTGTCTTTGTTGTGGTAACGTTATAGTAAGACTATGGATAAGATAAAAAAAAACTGTTTTTGTTGTTTGACAATATGGGAAGACAATCATGTCACAAACCGGTAAGTTTACGTCTCTTTGAAAATAATTGCACAGGGTATATGATTTGCACTATACAACTACTTATACTAAATATTAACCAATTCATATCAAATGATGACATCAGAAAAACGAGACAACAGAAATTTAACAAGATTTTTCTACATTTTTTAAAAAACAATCATAATAAAACCCATTTGACTCACAACATGGACCAGGCAAAATTCTAGTTTCATAAATAACTTTTATAACAAGATACTTTTTATTTCCAACCTATACGTTTCAATATATTAAAAAAATTCAAATTAGATAAAATAATTAATGATTGAATCATGACTTCTTAAAAGTTTTCCAAAGAAATTAAAACGCTTTTTAATTTCTGTTTACGTTATTTGTTATTACTAAGTATTCGTGTAGAATAGAAATAATTATAATTTATGATGTTAATTGACATTTAAATTACTTGTGTGAAATTTAATAAAAACTTTTCGCAAATTGAAATTTATCAAAAGGTTGAAACAGTAATTGAGATCAAATAGGAATCAACCAATTATTCATAACCTCTGACCTACTGTTACAAAATAAAACATTTCACATAACTTTCTACAATGTTCCAATTAAGAAATTTTGTATTGTTGTATGTATTATGTACTTATAAAATTGGGGAAAACTTAATCCAGGATATGTTTTTAATTAATAGAATTTTCAACCCGAAAGACCTTATGTGTACGTAAGATAAACAGCCAGGTCAAAGACTCTCTAGAGTTCAGATATCCCTGTCCTTAATTTTGGACTATTGATGAGAAGGAGCCAAAGCAGCCAGCCTACTATACCCTCCTACTGCAAGGGTTTTACCGGAATTTTGAACAGAATAACAGTATTGATTGTTAGTTTTATAACATACCCACAGGTGAGCGTGTCTCAAACTACGGACTCTTGGTCAGTAGCCCATTACATTACCCACTAGGCCACATATGGTTGACCTTGGATCAAATAGTAGTGTTTGAGGAAACTTGATAAAATAGTATTAAAATAATTGCTGTTGTTTTTTTTTGTTGTTGTTGTTTATCCATTTTGCTTAATGAAAAATTCTCATGTAAGAATTAAATATTAGGAATGTGTTAGGAAATTTATATTTCAAGCCAATCGTAACGCATTTCTTGCATCTGAGCTACTTTGGAGAGTTTGACGTCAATAGGTTTGTCTGTGTCGTAGAGAAATGGCGACTGAAGAAGGATGCCGACACTGCCTGTAATACAGGCAGTTGAGAATAGCCACAGGAACAGTCGGTCGAGTACCATAGCAACGTACTTCCAGTCTTCTTTAATCTGTAACAAGTAGGAAACGTGTGTATTGTTACATAAGATATCATAGCATATTGTTAAAACGCTTCGATAACAAAGAAGCCACACTTGTCTTCTTTCACTTTCTCTTCTGGATTCTACTTACAGCAAAGAGGTTTGGATCATACTAGTGTTTAAAATGCTAAAGGAACTTCAAATAATAATACAAAGTGTAGCTCTTGAAGGACTGTAAGCTTGTTGACTGTGTATAAAATTTCTAAATTAAACAAAAATGTTTAAGAATTTTCCTTTATTTGTCTACTCTGTTTGATAAATTAAATATATATTTCGTGGCTTAGCTAATCGTGATAATTCAAAACAATATATCCGTCACTTAATTAAATTATATTTTATGTTTAGTCTAAACTACGGGTAAAAAAGCACATCAAGTAACTTATTCATTACTTAATTTACAACTTCGATTAAATAAACCCTTCATTAGGAAGGTAATAAATTTGCAACTTAGTGCAGTGGTTCTCAAACTCTTTCACTCTGAGACTCCTTTGATGTGAATAAAAAAGTTTAAGGCCCCCAAACCTAGAAAAATACCTTAAAATGTGATTTATCAATTTCAAAAAATAATTACAAATGAACTTTAATGATATCTATGAAGTACTTTTTCTATTAAATTGTATGTTTGTAATTTAACGTGGCCTTTTCTTATCAATTTATATGTATTATAATTAGACCATTAGCAATTTATTATGTTTGGGTTAAATTTGTAGACTGGTGAGCAATTAAATACACACTTAAGTTTATGTAAGGTTATCTTATTTTCATTTTAAAATATGAAGTAATCCTGTAATTTAATTAATTCAACATAATTTTTATCAGCTTATTGTTTATTCAGAATTAAAATTAATTCAGCATCTTTGTTTTCGATCCATTTTTTGGTGACTCTCCCTTCGGGAAACACTGAGTCTTAGTGTGTTTGTATGCTGAACAAATAGAAAACTAAAAAAAAAGTTAAAAATAACTTACTCAAAATACGGTTAAACAACCAAGGAATACTTGATAGGTAGGTTGAATACATTATCTTGATTAATTGTATTAACGAATGTGTGCCTCTTAAACCAACAGCTTATTTATTTATCCAATAACTGTTGTTTAAAATTTCTTTCGAATTAATAAAACAAATATTCTTACGCTATTAAAGTCGTCTTGATTATCAATATGTTGAGCGATAAACATGGCATTGTGGATGGTTTTTTCCATTCTTTCTGGTAGCCTTCTTTCCAAGAAACCTGGACTCGATTCAAGTTCTTGAATAATAATTTCCTCTGCTGTAGAAAGACGAAAAGGATGGGGAGTATTTTCTCTTCCTGGGCCAGAACCTTGCCTTTCAGAAACGCTAGGAGTCCGATCTTTTCTGACGCCATCCTTGATGTCATCATCGTCTTGTTTGTTGTCAGTGTCACTGTAATTCTTGTACTGTGGCTCTCTCATTAATAGAATTTTCGGAAGTGTACGAATGAATACTTTCCTGACCCATGGTCTCAATTTATGGGTAGAAGGAGATCTAAAATGGACATTTAAAACTACCGTGGTTAATACAACGGTTACAGTAAGGAGAATCATTGTGAATAGGAGATATTTTCCTAGCAGTGGCAGGGCTAAAGATGTGGAAGGGATAATTTCCGAAAGTACCAAGAAGAAGAAAATTAGTGACAGAAGAATGGAAATACACAGTGTAACCTTTTCACCACTGTCGGAAGGAAGGTAAAAAACTACGATGGATAAGCAGGCTATACCTACACAAGGAATGATTAAATTGACCGTATAGAACAGAGTCTTCCTACGTAACGTGATGTTGAACGTGATATCTGGATACGGTTCATTACAACAAGCATAGTATTTCTCTCTACGCTTGGCTGGGACAGACATAATGTCCCATTCAACACTCAAGTAAAATTCGTTTAAGTCTATGCCCAGAGGTACAAGACTGGAATTTTCTGTTTCTTTCAAATGTCGTAGGTCAACCTTAAAAAACAAAAAAAAAGGTTCAGTTGGTAGTGCTTAGATCATTTTCAAAGGAGTTAGCTCATTCTCAAGAATATTATCAATTCAAATTTGTTTTTGATTATGTTTTGCGTAATCTCACAAGTGTTCAATTAATTTTAAACCGGGAAGTATTTGTTTGTAGTTAAGCACAAAGCTACACAATGAGCTATCTGTGCTCTGTCCAACACGGGTATCGAAACCCGGTTTCTAGTGTTGTAAGTCCGCAGGCATTCCGCTGTGCCTCTGAGGGGCATCGGAAAGTAATTGTATGCTTTCTGGTGAAATCATTTCGGCTCTGCAAGTATTTTCATATCGACTTGTAAACAAACATATCAAAAATAATCCAAAAACAAAGAAAGTACCTAGATTCTTGTGTTATTGCAAACTTATTTTATAGTAGAATTTATTGATACAGTATTATTAAAACTGTTTATAATAATCTTAGAATAACTATGTGTCATGCCTTTTTAGTGAATCGAGAAATAAAACATTTTGCTCTCAATTATTATTCTTATGTGTCTTTTCTTCGGCATATTTTAAACGCGTCTTGTATAAAGTTGAAAAATATAATGTATAGTATTTGTGAATTTCGTATCAGACGCCATTTTTAAATCATTTGTGTCACAACTTTCGCTCATTATCTTATTCACTGAACTTGACCCGAAGGATCAGCGCTGAAATCTTAGTAACCAGTGAACTGGGTTTTGTTTAAGCTCTATCTTCAGATCAATAAATGCTTTAGCAACTGTTATTGTATAGTCAGCGATTAAAAACAGATACTCTGATAAAAATCACGATTCTAGCTACGTCTGTCTTGATGGAGGTAGAACACACACACACACACAAAGCTACACAAAAGTTATTTGTGTCTAACCGCCCAAAATTTTGAACTGATAGATTAGAGGAAAGGTAATTTAATCAACAGCATCCATCACCAACTTTTGTTTTACTCACGTCTGACAAAACAGCAAGCCCGCATTAAGGTAGTTTGAAGCCTTGGTGCACTTATTTTTTTGAGGCCCATTGAATAGGGTACAAGCAAATTTGAAGTTAATTATAAATTAATACGTATCAAGTTAATTACAGAATATGAGCTAATTATTCGAAGTAAATTAGAATATGATGCATCTAACTTTAAGGATGATATATTAAAATTAAACGATTATAATAATGATAATTATTTACTTGTACAAAATGGCAAGTAAGAATGAATTAGGTACATAAAAAAGCATGCCAACACAATATCCTAAAAAGATTGGCCATTTGGTTCTAAGTCTCTACTAATGACAAATTGTTTAGCATAAAGTTAATTATATATATACTAGCTTTCGTTTATATAAATCCTGAGCATAAATCTAAAGATTCGGTATAAACAGACATATTTTTGGTATATACAAAAACATAATTTTATGAAGTATCAATGGTTTTCAAATTACTTATGATTTCGGAATTTTCTTTGAAACAACATCTTTATGGGGTAAAAATAGCCTCCTTAACAAAAGTAGGTAAAAGAAAGCTAAACATTAGGTCGTCAAGAAATTAATGTCGCGTTTTGGAACACTCTCATTAACCACCACCCCAAAATGTACATCCCGTATAATAGTTAAACGAACCGCCTAAACGTTACGTCTATAAGCGCTATTAATTTCTTGCACCTAATATAAAATCTGTGAATGTTATAAGCATATCACTACCCATATATTTAAAAGTTTTCTACAAAACGTATCCTAAAATGTTACTCCAAAGTGGCTCGGCGGCAAGTCTCCATGCTTACGACGCCAAGATTCCGGTTTCGATACTCGTGGTGGGCAGAACACAAATAACACATTGTGTAGCTTTGTCCTTAACAGCAACCAAACCTAAAAGGCGTTAAATAAATTACGATTTAAGTTTTTCTTTCAGCATTTAAGGTTTCGCAATTTGAATAGTAAACCTTTGTTGACTATCGTTTTAAGAATCCTTAATTAGCGAGATACATTACACTACTATAGCTTTTTATTGCTGCTAAAGGAGATTTCAATATAAAAATAATTTTGTTTACCATTCAACTGGTTTTCAGGTTCTAAAACCGCATAATCGTTTTCCAAACTTTCATTATTCCATGAGAAACACTTTTGTTTCCTGGTGAGTCAGCGATGAGTTTATGGACTTATAAATGCTAAAGTCCGGGTTGCGATTCCCCGCTGTGGACAGAGTGTATTAGCCCATTGTGTTCTAAAACTAAAACAACAACGATACACTTCTTGTCTGCAGATATTGTGAGAAAACAGAATCCCACTTAAAAAAGAAACAGGCACCAGTATGATACTGTCTTCTAAGAAGAGACCACTTTATATGGAAGCAGACATATCCTTACACGCAAATAGGAGGTCCTCATTTGTGATGGGACTGTCTCTGGCTCAAACTTTACACTTAAATCACGTGATTAATAAAAGCTAATTTGTTAGAAACTTTTAGTTGTTTTACACGGTCCTCACCTGATGCTTCCCAGTGACTCAGTGGTAAGTTTTTAGACTTATAATACTAAAAACTGGGTTTCGATACCAGCCAAACCTTACCTGATACCCGTCATAAGTCCAGGATCCAAATTTCATTTGGCATTCTTGGCGATCAAATGGAAAGTACTGCACATCTATTTGGCAGGAACTTTTGTAGATGGCTGGTGGGTTCCAAACGACTCTGCCATCATCATGGACAATAGCTTTTGTCATGATAGTCACCTCATAATTTCCATCGGCACTAAAAGAAATAAACAGTACAATCATATGCCTAAGTTTTTTTCATTGCTATTCACCTGAACCCTTACCGTTGAACTACGAAATTATCACAAACTGTTCGATCCTGTATAACTCGCTCATTAGTTTATTATATTCTAAACTGTAACAAAGCAATGTGCTTGGATAAAGGTTTATCGTAGATACGACAAACACTTGCAACCCGTTGTTAGATAAACAAGACTGTTGTAGTTTAAGTTTAATTAACCCTTTCGACCTCGTAACCATTGTGTGCTTGTTATAGTTTTCGTGCTATAACTTTTAACTTAGTAAGCGTATGTTAACGAAATTGGGCAGAATATCAGTTAACAGTACAATGCTTTCATACACAAATATTAATTCTTAAGGTTTGTTAAGCAAATTTCCTCATACCTTTTTTATTTTCAATTGTTACCTATCTAACATGCAAAGTAATGTTCATGTTGTGTCTTGGCTGTGTTTTAGTAGACTAGTATTTAATAAAATACAGTAACACTTTAATTATTATGTACTATATAATATATTATTATTATTTAGAAATAAGTTATTAAACATATTATCCTTAAAACATAGAAGCAAACAATTATTTCTTCTAGTTACGACCTTTGTGCTCAATTGATACTTGATGTAGGTTGATAAACCTTTTAAAATTTCGAACGTGGAGGATATGAAACGAAATAATTTTTTTATTTTTTAAATGGGCATATGCGCGCGCATGTACGAAAAGAAGCATATGCGCGCGCATGTACGAAAATGGACATATGTGCGCGCATGTACGAAAAAGGGCATATGCGCGCGCATGTACGAAAATGGGCATATGTGCGCGCATTTACGGAAATGGACACCTGCGCGCGCATGTACGAAAAAGGGCATATGCGCGCGCATGTACGAAAATAAGCACCTGCGCGCGCATGTACGAAAATGGACACCTACGACGCATGTACAAAAATGGGCATATGCGCGCACATGTACGAAAATGGACACCTGCGTGCGCATGTACGAAAATGGACACCTGTGCGCACATGTACGAAAATGGGCACCTGCGCGTGCATGTACGAAAATAAGCACGTCAATCCCACTATTTGTTGGTAAAAGAGTAGCCCAAGCGTTGGCGGTGGGTGGTGATGACCAGTTGCCTTCCCTCTAGTCTTACACTGCTAAATTAGTGACGGCTAGCGCAGATAGCCCTCGATTAGCTTTGCGCGAAATTCAAAAACAAACAAACCTTATCCCTGAGACCCAAGCTTATCCTACAGTTGCGTAACAAGACGTAGTACTATCAAACACGCTTTGCACGTTCAGTTGTATATGCGTTATAAAAGTGACAGTCAATATCGTTATTCGGTTTGGCGGCGGATGTAGCCTTCTGGATGTCATACATCTGATCTTTAGTTTATAATTAAGAACGGCCATATCTGAATTATAGAGACCCTGACCTGGCTGTTTGCTCCATTGTGTGCATAAAGTATAGCTCAGGTGAACAAATAAACTTATCTCTGTCTCACTCGTTCCTACGACATTTCTGATACTTCAATTTAATATCAATTCTCTATCTCTAAAAGAACATATGTGCTTAACTTAGATACGTATTGCAGTCGACACAAGTCACTGAGGCAAATGACTGCTAAGTTGGTTTTTCATTACACCGAACTGAGAGATTTCGTTAAACACTCATTATTATGACAAGTAATCACTTTTCACCTGTAAATCAATAGCTTGTGCGATTCTTTTTATTATTGTTGAGTTTCATTATTTTTTTTTCTTTTATGAAACCGACCAATTTGTTGTAGAAAACAACACACGGAAAAAAATGTCTGCTCATCAGGGACATGTATCTAAACCAACTTACTTGTTGTATAAAACAATATCCGGTAACCATATTTGTTCAGCAGGGACATATAACTGTCGGACCCCACCGTACTCTTGAGGATCCCATTTAAGTTTATGATCGGACCATTCCTGAAAAAATACAGCGGTGTGTTATGTCATTTAAAAATAAAGGGTGATGACACTTTCATTAAAGATGGCTAAAAAATAAAAGGAATAATAAAATAAAAATAGAAAGGACTAGTGAGAGAGAGAGAGGAAAATGTTACATTTTGGTATTAAAACAATAATATTTCAGTGCGTTTTAAGTAATATTTTTTTCGAATTAATTTTCAGTTAAAGGATATTAATTATGATGACTGGTGAAAATACTGAAAATTCTATTCATTTATTACACATTCTGCGTCAATGTTTAACCACAAGTTCACGTTTAAGAAAATCACATTTGAAGTAACGTTATTTGATCTTTTTTTCTTGTTAATAAACCAATGTATTTTACTTGCAGTGACCATGTGATTAGTTTATGAAAAATATTCGTCTTGAATGTCAATGGTAAATTAAAGGAGTTCCTTTAGGGATAGATTAACAAACTAAAGGATCCAAACAAGCATAAAAAATTATTCATGATAAAAATCCAAAATATGATACTGAATGAAATAAAATATTACAAATTAAAATGTTTAAAAATATTTCAATTACTTATACATTCCCATGTTACTGAATGAAAAAGAAAAAAAACGAAACCTACCTGATTTACCCACATATTGGTCGTCATGATTTGGTTCTTCATATTCTGTGTAGAATTTGAAAAACAAAATAAATAAACATGAAAAAAGAGCTATATTTTATAAATATATATGAAGGTAGAAACTGTTTTGTTTTTTTCTTAACTGAAAAATTATTAACGAATTACCAACTAGAATCAGGTTTTCTTATTTAAACCTTTTTTTTATAATAGAATGTTCAGTTTTAGTTTCATCATTTGAAATTTGTGATAGTTATTTTAAAACATGTAAGTAGCCAAAAGATTTTTGAAAATTTATTAAAGTATTACGCAGTAGAATCAAGCTGTAATTTACTATTTTTTCCGTGAGAGAATGTTCAGGTTGAACTTTGTCGTTTGGATCTTTTAAAAAATACAAGTGTCTACTAATAAAGTATTAAGCAAATCTTACTTGGGCCATGGCATCACAAGTAAAGCATGGAATTTGTTCGTTGTTGATTTAGGTTGGAAACTTTCCTACGAAATGCTTCATACTTAGGCTTAAAGTAAGGGTAGCATTGTGAAACACAAAACACAATGTGTGATCTTATTTTGGTTATAATCTTTTAGAAAAAAAAAGAAAAAGAAAAATCATTTCAGTGCATATAAACAGACTTTAGATACCTTATAGTGATCTCCCCACACAATTGGTATTTACAACCAGAAATATATCTCTTACAGTGACAAAAAATTAGCAAAAACTAATCTCACACATTCTTCTATTATTGCAATTGCATATTATCTCAATCGTACAACAGTATTTAATGCCACATTTCCTTGCCAAAAAAAAAAAACGCAAAGGACAAATTATTAGTCATTTAACTAACAGAATCTCATATCTTCAGATTAGAATGATAAGAAACAACTAGAGAGTGAGGCGTTTAAAGTTCCAAACACTTTTTTACCATAATTTTTTTTGTTTTGTTTTTAATTATGCACAAAGCTACACAAGGGCTATCTGTGCTCTGCCCACCACGGGTATCGAAACCCGGTTTCTAGCGTTGCAAATCCGCAGACATACCGCTGTGCCACTGGGGGGCTTTTTACCATAAAACAGATAACTAGATTTTATGTATTTGGTAGGTTATTCTTTATACTTTCTTTAATGTTGTTTTCATTAACGGTATTGGTTATAATCTTTAATACACAAATATATATATATATATTACTTTTCATTTTATTATTGTTATAGACTTCAATTATAAAGATTATTTTACATTGTTAGCTAAGTATATAGATTTACGACTAAGTGAAATCTGGTCCATCTTCATGAGATATTATTGGAATTACGGCCGAAAATGTCGCCAATTGGTGAAACAATGTATTCGAATCATTATAAGTAAGAACGTAAGTTCTTGATCAGAAGAAGTTAGTATTAATTTCTTTAGAAATTCTCTATGTAGGTCAAATGCTTTATTCCACTCTTAGAGTACTTATAAACAAAATTTAGTCTGATAATGTGCAGTTTAAATGCTTCCTTATGAGAATTTCATGATACTTAACTTAGTTAAATATGCTTGGAATAACATCGTTACTTAATTCAAAAGAGCAGATTACTTTACGTCAAAAGTTATCACATGATAGAGTTTCAATAAGAATTTCCAAGTAATATATTTTCATATATATATATATATACGTTAGCGACAAAAACCATAACCAAACCAGATGAACGTAAGCATCTTTAAAAAATCGAAAATATTGTTTTTAATTATTTTTCTCACTGTCTCATTGCCATAGAGGGCTCGAGTCAGTTCTTGTTCCCATCTCATGTAGATAAATTAGTATTAGGGAGCCTCATTCAATCAAGCAACGTTAGTCAAGCTTCATTGTTGTTCACATAGGATTGTTCATATCATGCAGCTACCGTAAGACGGATTTTTGAAAATTTAATAAGACTTACTAAAAAAGAAAACACAAAAACACACACACACACAAAGAAATTATTTTTAATATGAAAAAACGCGTTTTTCTTAATCATACATCAACAATGTATTATAAATTCGGAAAGCCTTCCAAATGCTCAGTCAAGCACGGATACTCCAAATTACTACTGTCCCATTTAAATAACTATCGTCGAAAGTTCGTAAAATTCAAAAGCTCATTCATCTAGATATTATCTATGTAAGTGAATTTGCATTTGACTGATACACACACACACATATATATAGGTGAGTTTAAAATAGTAAAACAAAAACGTTTCGTGCTTTATAAAAAAGTGCCAGTAAAGTGTACCAAACTAATCTGATATTTTCATAATCTAACGAAAATAACATTTCTGACGAATAGGAAACTTTTATTGTTTATTATGTCAAGTCACAGATAAAAACGTTTAAAATCACCGGTCGTAAATAACGAAAGTTACAGAAAACATATATCTATATACCTATAAGTTTCGATGTTTGCTAACTTTTTAAACAAATTTGATATTTTATCAAAATTTTTGAAATAAGTTTGTTTGTTTGTTTTGAATTTCGCGCAAAACTACACGAGGGCTATCTGCGCTAGCCGTCACTAATTTAGCAGTGTAAGACTAGAGGGAAGGCAGCTAGTCATCACCACCCACCGCCAATGCTTGGGCTACTCTTTTACCAACGAATAGTGGGATTGACATTTACATTATAACGCCCCAACGGCTAAAAGGACGAGCATGTTTGGTGGGAGGGGGGATTTGAACCCGCGACCTTCAGTTGAAATAAGTAAAAATGCTACTTACGGGTACTGTAAAGAACATATTTACAGGTTCGGCTTGAGTAGAAGAACTGTTAATCTTTACCAATACAATACAGTTATTTTGTGAATCTTCAATTAATTTGTTTGTTTGTGTTTTTAACGCATTGGACTATCTGCATCTCTATCCATAGGGAGGTATCGAACTCCGGATTTGAGCGCTGTAACTCTGTGAACTTACTGCTGTCCCACCTGGAACCTCTTCAGTTAAGAAATAATAATGATTTTTACGTCAAAGTTTTTAAAGTCAAAGTCATACGGTAATCGCTTCAAAATATGAATTTCTTCATTACTGTAATTAAGAGATTTTTGAATGTCAACAGAAATCAGTTAGATAAAGTGAACTAGTGTTTGGGCTTGTGATTAGAGTGTCAAAATTCCGATCAGAAATTCCAAGGTTCGAACCGGGATTTATTGCCAAACACTCTTCCCAGTTTCTAATGTGGAGGCGTTATCACTGTGCAGACTATTCCGCTATTTGGTCAAGAGAAATTGCATGGTTGCTGATTGTTACTTTTAATATTATAAATACTCCTATAAAAATAAGATCAAATTAAACTTTATATATATATATTTTTTTTTCTTCCCCCCCAAGATACTATTGTTATCTTCAACTTGATAGGAACTGATTATAATTTTCCATTAATTTTTAGTGATGTACTGTGATTTTGTTGTTTTTACTTTTCTTTTTTTTTATATGATCATTTTGATAAACTTAAGTGCGTTTAAAGATTGCCAGGTTAGAAGATAACTAAACAGTAAATGCATACAAAATCATAGAGTTCCAACTACGTTGACAGACATGGAGAGCGTCCAAATCGTTGAAAGTAATAATTAAAAACAACTTATAATGAAATAGGAAAACGATTTTATATAAAATCCATATATTTGTTTTTTTAGAAACTTCGTAATAACTATTACGAAACACTAGCTCTGTGTGCTTTACAAATACAGTACAGGTTTGGCAAAACGGAGAAACAACATTTCATTATAGAAAGAAATGAAAACACCAACAGTCCCTTGTCTGCAGTGTTGTATAAAATCAAAACAGAATAGAAATTCTTTGATAGGTTGTTTAAGTAGAGTATTCATAATGAATCTAAGTTTCA